AGCGTAGGGCCAGAGAACTGGCTGAAGTGGAAGAACGATATGTTGTACTTCTTGCCTGCAACAGTGGCAAGAGCCTGCGTGGGAGTGAGAGTACCGCTAAGCGCGTCAACGCCAGCAGCAGACCCGAGGAGACCGACGCCGTTACCAGCGTGTGCGTAGGGTGCGAAGAAGAAGATAGAGGCATCGAGGTTTCCTCCGGCGGGCGAAGTTCCAACCCAGGCGGCGTATGATGCGGCGAAGCAGAAGTCGGAGCATTGCTTGAAGCCCTCAAAGCCACCATCGGAGAGGAGGTTCTTGCGCTTGTAACCGCGAGAGAAGGTGACCTTGAGCGAGCCCTGGCCAGTGTTGACGGCGGTGGACTCGTCGGCGACGATGAAGTACTAAATGGGCCATATTTAGAACGCAGTTCCGATTGGAGATGTTAATAGCACATACCATACTGCAAGTGTAAGTGGTGGGAGTACCATCGACGACTGCACGCCAGATGTTGAAGTACTGGCATTGGCCACCATTGGGGTCAGGTCCACGAGTGTTGCAAAGCTCAGCACACGCTTCGACGTCGTATTTATCGATGAAGGCGAAACCCATGTACTATGATCGAAACGTCAGATAGTATTCAAATCATTCTTTAAGGCATGACTCACTCCAGGAGCATTGTTAGCACCTCCAGTAGGACCGAAGACGAGTTCATAACCATCAGGAGTAGTAGGCTCAACAAGAGTCTTTGCTGAGTAACCGCTGCTTTGTTGGATGAAGGTCAGGCCGGCAGGGGGAGGGATCGACTGCTGTCCGCCAGTGTTGGTTTTCTCTGCAGCAGTGTGCGTATCGGCATACAACGCGCACTTAAGGTTGGAGTGCTCCGAGAACACGAAGTCGAGAAGCTCATTGTTGAACTCGTAGTACAAATTCGCGAACACTAGCAAAATCGTCTATCAGCATAATTGTCGGGAGATATGCGGAACGAAAAGGAGAGATGGAAATTTTACTCACCGCACTGGTCAACGCGATCACAGAAGGCCAAACAGTCATCAACGTTGTAGGTTGAGTTTGAAACGACGGTGTAAGTAAGATAAGCAGTTCCTTGAATCGAGCCATCCCTATCGTTAGGACCAGTTCCAGTTCCTGAAAATACGAGATCGTAGTCGCTTGCACTTCGCTTTGTGAAGTGTTCAGAGGTGAATTCGAAGCTTCTGCGCGTCGCAGCAGTTCCGGCACTGGTAAGTTGACCATCAACGGCTGTCACAACGGTCTCGGCGACAGGTTGGTTGGGAGGCGCATCGATAGGAACAGAAACCTTCTGGTCAACAGCGTCAACCGTAGAGGCGATGGTGGTCGCGTCGGTGCCTGTACCGTCGAGATCAAGTTGGTTGGAAACGGCATTCACAGCGCCCTTCAGAGCAGGAGGGACAACTTGCGTTACAGCGGCTATGGGAAGGGTGAGGATTGGAAAGGGATAAGGGGGTGAGAAGGGAAAGGTGAGAGGGTGAGAGGGGAAAGGTACGAGGTCAGAGCCGTGTAAAATGGAGTATAGTTGATGCGAGGAACGTACCAGAAACCGCGACCGCAAGTGAAATGGTGGAAAGTAGACGGCTGAAAGTGAACATCGCGTTCTAAGAGAAGTTCTGTGGATGGAAGGAGAACCACTACTAGTAGACCGTTCTTACCGTTTCTCCTCCTTCTGCATCCACCTTTTATACTCGTACCGAGCATGCTCACTCTCCGGTTGCCGCTTGGTCCGCGCCTCCCGTCCAGACCCTCTGAATGTCAATACCACTGCCTCAATGCCGTTCCTTACTTTCCACACACTTTCAGATTGCGTCCTGGCAGGTAGGTACGCGTATACGTGATCGGTCATAGAAGGAAGTTTATTCATCTAGGTGGCCATGCAGTCAGACACATCACGTTCCTCGATGATAATAGATGTATAAATCAGTAATACCACTTCGCACAGGCGCGTTACCTCCGTGCTTCGCGTGTGTGTCCATTCTCTGTGAATTCTGAGATGGACGCAAGTATTCGCCAGGGTGATTCGCAAGGTCTATTTTGCAGGAAATGTCCGAGGACCAACGCGCGTTGTTCTACTCCAACGTCGATTCGAGCATTGCGTTCAGGTCCTACCACGTGAGCACGACAGGTATTCTCTTGTCAGTTGTTTGAGAGTGGCAAATGCCAGTCATTGCAAGTAATAGATGTACTTGGATAGGAGACATCATAAGTTGTCGATTACCGGCCGGGAAATCTGTCATTGCGAAGTTATCTCTGAGCGGCGATCGACGAGAACAGAATAGTGAGAAAGGCCAGAGAATGTAATGAGACCCCGGGATGGAATCTGAATAGACTGTAGGTGTCCCAGCCCCGAGCTGGGCCTCTCAACTCTTGATAGGTCGGCTAGAATGACAACACGAGGACCTTAATCGTTCCGGTATAGAAGTAGCCCCGTCTGTCAGGCATACCTGAGTGGGCGCTATCTGCTCGGCATTAACGATTCCATTTACTCTGCGTATGGCTTGAATACTATGAAGATGCCCTAACGCCCAGGCTCCGATTGTGAGCTGATGAAAGCTATAACTCACGAGGATTTGGGGTCCTCACTGAAACCTGCCGGAACAAAAGGTAGAACACCTAGAAGTGAATTGTGCCTGTATCGTTTTGAAGGTTGTGCGATGATGATGGATCGAATTCAAGAGGCATGCGCTACATGCTTGCTGGTGACTGTAGCTTTTCACACGCTCTGCCGACGCGTCATGCTTTGACACTCGGGAACAATACCCGCTTATCACCTTCACAGACATACATCCCTCAAGCGCGTTTGGCGAAGGAAGAAAAGCTCGCGATGTTCAATTATAGTCGATGCAGTGTTCAATTGGTGGTAAGAATTTGTTTTTCAGCAGGAATTCCTCCTTGTGACTCAGATTATATTTCTGTTCTGTTCCGTTGAAAGGTTGAAGCTTGTCGAAAATACTGAAACGCTGATGATCTCCTAAATTTTTCCATCATCCGTCATCCACCTCATGTGTCAAAACGCGCAATCCAACAGGTATCTAGCAATCATATTTTCTTCTTAATTCACAGGTATGCCTGGGCTTTAAAAACGTGTTTTACTTCTTTCCGGGTTACCCTCAGAATGACATATTCCAGATATCTATTGCGGTGATATTATACAATGTCACCAAAGAACAATAAGAACATCGCCTTTCTAACTCACATTGAACGGACAATCTGTAATTGTTGTACGTTATGTGCGCATCATAGGAATAATTATACATGCAAGGCCTGCTCATGCGATGTGTAATGCAGCGTTATCGGACGCATCGTCGGCTTCGAAAAGCCCTCTTCTATCTCATCTAGGCACCTATGCATTTCTTGCAGCAACACTCGAGATTCATTCAAGTAAAACTCTATCGGGCCGATCCTATTCCCGAACGCATCATTAACTTCGAAGCTTGAGCGGATCCATCATGTACGCCAAATATAGACTCCGCCGATATGCTGTCAAATCCATGATGTATGTCTGCAGAATTTTCGGTGCCTTCATGCCTCACAAGGAACCAGAAGCTCATCTTCAATGACTACGAGAGCCTTGGAAACCGCTTATAACTACTACAGTGCTTGTTATCCCTGCCGTTTCAAATCACTAGCACTGCATACCATCTACTTCTTAATTCTTCCCTCAGATTGCGGCGAACTAGGCTTCTTGTGCCTTTTTCACATTAAAAATTCTCTCACAAGTTGTCTGCGTGTATACGAATATTTCCGCATGAATCGTTGGCGCTTTACCTGGATGAAAATCGGAAATTCATGAGCACCGAGGAGAGTGTACATTATTGTCAAGTATTAAACTGTCATTTTCAAACCGTGCCTCATAGCTAGGTCCCCCATGCTTCAGGACTACGCTGGTACTGACGCGTATATCTGCTCTCGCAGGCGTGCGGAATGAACGTCTCAGGGGTATTATCCATCGCCGAAAACCATTGTCTGCTGCTATGTTCCGAAGCATTTATCCTCCTTAGAGCAGCTTGTAAGCTCTTTATCTCCCTTTCGTCCCTTAATTATAACGCGGGACTTGTGATGGGTTATGGCCGTTCCGTGACGAACGTGAGGGTGTCTCCGAAATTATTACAATAGAGTCAGAAATGTCTGTGCCAGGAAAATCAATTAACCCGCTATCGATATTCAAAAGATACTATAAATAAGTCAATTCAGATTCTATGCTTACACACCTCTCCGAGAACGGTAAAATGGGATGTAATAGAAGTATTATCTCAAGTTCAGTCTCAATCGGATCGAAAAAGTCACATCTCAAGCCGCTTGTAAACTCAGGTCTGCTCCTTCAAGTTTAACGTAGACGCAACGACATTAAAATGTTCTCCGCGGTGCATATAATATTACCTTACAGCATTATACGTATTTGAAGGTGGCAAAAGTTGATATGTGGTGGGTTGAGTCGTCAACGACTGCGTCATTCCTACAGAAGCCCATTAATTTGAAAAGAGTCTAATGTACAGATGATTACTATATATATGGCTGCTGTAAGAGTTATATTAGATGATTGCATGTCCCCAGAAGTTGTGATATATTCTGCCTAGAACACGCACTGCCATTCCAGAGATACCACACGTCCAGCCCGCGGCATCTGTAGACACACTAATAGATAGATTCTTTTACCATATCATCAGCGATTATTTAAGGTAAAAGTGCTACACCGATACTATGAATTTGTCAGTTCTCCGCATTTCTCGCCATTGGCGGATCAAAAGTGTCAATCGAAAATCACGACATGCTCATAGAAGGTAGTGTATACTTATCGCCAACATTACTCGCGTTAACCGAGAATAAACAGGGCCCTATTCGTATTCATATTCTAAAAGTAGCTATTAAGACATCAGGAATTTTAAAGAAATAATCGACTGAGGTTTGGCGCTGAATGTTGAACAGAGGAAGGCCATGAGCATTTAGATTATTACCAGTTATTAGTAATATTTATCTATAATATTTTCAATGGGCACATGGTGTAGTTGGTTATCACGCTCGCTTAGCACCCTGTGTATGCGAGAGGTGTTGGGTTCAATTCCCAATGTGTCCAACTTTTAAATTTTTTGTTCATACAATGGCTGAGTCACGAGAACATTTAAAGAACTGATCTCCCCTTCCTGAATACATATACATATCCACTAAATACCCAATAGGAAACTCCAATGTAGAGAATAAGAACACGAAATACAGTATGTAGTTAAATATACATTATCGTCGCTGCATCAACTCCATAAAGTGTTCACTGAAAGAAACGTCAGAATCAATATCGACATGAAGATCCGTCACTCCATCAGACCATCGAGTGGCTCCGCTTGCATGATCGCGGATGTGGAGAATTACTCTACTAGTAACTATTGAATGAATAACGCGCTCAAACCTATGAATGATGTCAAATTCTGAATGAATGACAGCAGATATTGACAGAAGACGCACGATGAGAAGAGATTGATGTAGGCAGACTGACGTTTCAGGTACTAATCAGTCTCCTGCAATACTAGCCGAATATAAGAATTACTCACTGGTAAAATCTGAATGACGATAACATTGGTTAGCGACAGTACTTGTGGAATGGTGTTTTTGTAAGTGAGCATATTCAGCACATTACGAGAAATTGTTTACCGAATAAGCAGAGATAATATAATACACCTATCCTGACCGTCAGAGCTTGTAAGAATGTAGAATATTCTGAGACTTACCATCACGATAAACTGTTTTATAAAGAGCAGAATCGCCTCCTAGACGATCTATCGCAACAAAATGTGAGTAAAGGTATATATTTCCATATATGCAAATGACTCGGCAGCTTACAAGCGGCAATTCCGGGAATAATCATTAAAATAAGGATAACTATGATCTCATTTTTAGTGATATCAGAATATGCATGAGGTAGAGGCTTACTAGCTTCATAAACCATCAGAACGACCCAACATAGGTATAGGATAGAGCTCCCCTTGGTTACAAAACATCCCAGGAAATCAACATGTGGTGGGGCACCGACTTCGAATCCAAACATTAGAGTATAGAGATTTGCAGGCATTTGCTCACTTACATTTCATCGAAGCAAGGAACTTCGCCATAATAACACAGTCGCTCCCCCAAATACCGACATAAAGCATAGGTAACGTGATACTTAAGCGCCTGTCGCGATTCCAGACTGCCCACGCTCGCAGCGTGAGTATTACTGTTTCATCAAATGAGCGGTCTAGACGATGTCAAATATGTGTGGGTTCAACTAACGCTCGGACGTCGCAAAGCCCACTATGTACATCCCTAAGACAGAGTCGTGGGTGGTATCGAGGAGAAAAGTAGACATGTTATAGCTTACAACCGCTAGCCTGATATATCCGATGGCATGCTGGTCCCGAGAGATCGTGGCCTAACTGGTCTAGCAACAAAGATGATGAGTATACCAATGTGGCTTGCCGTGAATGCTTACGATGGAGTACGAGCCATACAGTGTCGAAGAATGGCAAATACCTCTGAATGAGAAACAGGACCTTCATGAGGCTCCAGTTCGACGCCCATACAAAGTCAATCTCCATCCCCAATGTCATGAAATAGTCAAATATAAATAGAGATGAGCTTGCCACTGAAACGGGTGAATACTTGAGGATAACTCTCGATTCCGGAGGACATACATACCGTCAAAAGACTTGATGAGAACAGCATAAATAATGCTAGTGAATCGAAGCAGAAAAGAGTCTACATACCGTTACAAATCTCATTTGTTCAAAAATTTGTTCAACTTGGGCAATAGAAAGTGATGCCATGGCAAGGAAGGTTCAGGTTTATACGAGGATTTTTGTGGACGATGCTCAATGATTCCGGATTCTTCTCATCAGGTTCGCAGTAAGCATGAGGATCAACTTCTTCCTTGCTGAAGCTTGAGCTCGACTTCCACTTCCTTGGCCTTTGGGATGGAGGATGAATGGTGGATGTAGTGCGTACGCAAGTAGTATTGTGGTGGTATAAAGAAAGCAGAAATAGGGGCAGTTGAGCCTGCTGTTCGTTGCCAGTGGCGTAATGCGTTGTTTAAATTTGCAGTCAACGAGCGATGACCGTGGCTTCGTTGATTTCCTAGACGGCCTGACCCTGATCATAAAGTGGCAAGATGCAAGTTCAACATGTCGACAAAGCATACATGAGCATGAATGAGGGATTTCTTCCACTCGGAGCGGTAACTAGGTCTCATTGATATCAATATGATACTTATAAAGAGGTTGAGATATGGTGAAGCAAATGAAAGTTGACAAACCGTTGTACACAAGTTGTACAACTCATAAGAGCGTGATTCGGCCCGACTGTGTACTAGCCACATTGTTGTTACAGACATACACACATGCACACACGACAAAAAAGGGAAGAGGGCACAAATTAAAGCACAACAGTGCTGAACTGGGAACCAGGAACACTTTAAAGTCGCACGCTTATTGCTACTGATGCATAGACAATTGAACATCAATTTGGCATCTCAGATGTTTACACACCGATCATATTTGTTGTTATTCATAGAAAATATCTAGTTCAAGGAACTTGGAGCAGAAAATGGAATCTTACTCAAGCGTCTAAAGAGGGAAATCACTAATTGGAAATCACCTGGAAGCCAGGCCGGAAATCCAAATTATCGAGGTAGGGGATTTCTTGCATTTTGAATTCTTGGCTTAGGGCTAGAAGTCTAATACAGACTCTGTCATAATAATAGAAATTTTGTGCGTGCTACTCTCACAAAATGGTAGGGTTGCGGAGATCGAAGTATAAAATTCTACTGGAAAACTCCATACCATCCCACTAGTGTTGTGCAAGTCACGTAACCGTTAAGAAAGCCAATGGCAGTCAATTTTTGATGTTGACTTTGACCACAATTTACGAGTCTTATGTAATAAGAATCGTTCTTTTAGGGTGATTTACTATAACATTTTGTCGCCATCAGAAGTGAGCGAAAATTGTACGTCAGCGGCATGCACTGCCACCTCGGCATCTCAAAAATCGCCTTTTATGGATATATGACGTGATATCCAACACTACACCGCCATTTTTGCCTGGTCCCAGAATGGGACCTGATTTGTGATATCCGGCGTTGTAAGCCCTGGGATCGGAGAGGAGACCATCCTGGTGCCCCATCGCCTAACAACTGGTTGCCATATGGTCGCGATATCATAATGATCTTCTTCTGCTGGTATGCTCGTGACCTCATATATCCTGAAGCCAGGCTGGCTTCATTGCATTGGCACGGAAAGAATTATAAATAGCATTAATATTGCGCTTTTTCTTATTTCATTTGGATTCATATTTGAGTAGCTTATACAGGAGATAGAATAAGAAATGCATTCAAATGAGTGATAATAGTAAGTACAAAGAGTAACGACAGTTGGTATAGAAAGATAATGATTTACGGCAGCAAGTGCAGGTATATAAAGGTAATATTAACGAAGAATCTATGGGAGGGAGTACGCACCACTATAAGGCAACATTATTAGCGTACTATGTTACGGAATTATGGAAGAGAATAAACATACTAAGAATGACAGAGTAGGGAGTGCCAATGGGAGTAGGGATGCTGAAGGTGGTGGTGTGTTGAAGTAGATGTGTGTGTGAGGGCTGGGCTCGGGCTAAAGGAGTAGGTGGGGCGGGAGGCTGCATTTGCGTGGTGGTAGGCATGAGGGCTGCGCTCAGGTTGAAGGGGACAGTTGGGTGGGGAAGCTGTATTCACATTGAAGGTGGTATTCCGTACGTAGAAGGTGGTTGGTGGGCGTGAGCGTTAAGCTCGGATTTAAGTTGGAGGCAAGGCAAGGCTGTGAAGGGCCAAGGCTCGCATCGAGGGTTGTTGGTGGAGGCGGGTGAGCTGCTCTCGGATTAAGGGTGGCATGAGGTTGGAGGGTTGCATTTGTGTAAAAATTAGAATGTGGGGGTGGAAATGATAACGTACGTGTTTGGTCTAGGGGGGCACTGGCAATGGTGGTGAGGGTTGACGGGGATGCCGTTCTCACCTTCTCATGCAATAAGCACCTACACGCATTCTTGTATTCCTCCCTCTTGTCCTCATCCTCTCCCTAACCTTCACTCCGCATGTTGGTCTATCCAACTCCTACTTACCTTTGGCTGTTCGTATGCATTCGTATGTTCGTGTTCGTGATGTTTGTAACGATAGCTGTAAGGTAAGGCAGGCACTAGGCTGTATCTCTGTTTCAAGAACGGGTGCATGGTGTGATTAGTCAGTATATATAAAAAAGATGAGAATAACACTTACTTTATCGCGAGGGATGGGAAGAGAGCAGAGAAAGGGAATGGAAAGGAAAGGACTTACACTTTTCTTACTGCTGAAAATTTCAGATCTTCCAAAATAAATTGGGACAAACAAAACAAAGCGGGCAAGGACCTTTGATGGATGCCAACGGTGGATATTGACTGATATCGAGCTGGGGTTGGGACATGGTACCTGTGCGGTACCAGAGTGCCATCGTGCAGCTCCCAATTATCACAAGAGCTGGGCGTTACCATGCTGAGTGCTTGGCGGCCGCGATTATGGTAGCCGGCTGATCTCCCATCACTGACCTTTCTGAGGCATCCAGCAGGATTGGTGGTGTAGTAAGATAAGACTGGTTTCCTCAATTCATTCCTAAGTGTCTAATAATCTTTGATCAATCTATTGACTGTATTTATTTCTATACCGACTATCTAAGTTCCTTATAGTCTTTTGACTGTTCCATTGGCTGTATTGATTTCTATACTGACTGTCTAAGTTTTCTTTAGTAATTTAACTAGCCTATTGACTATATTGATCTCTATACTGACCATGGAAGTTATAGTCTTTTGTGAGTCTATTGCTTGTATGCTTATATTCTTTGATTGGTCTAAGTGACTTCATTGATTTCTATATTTATAATCTAATTTTAGTCTTTTGATTGATCTATTGCTTATATTGGTTGTTATTATATGGACCATGTAACTTATAGCCTGTTGATTGGTTTATTAACTGCAGGTTTATATATTGACTATCAAAGTTGCTTATAGTCCATAGGCCAGTCCAAGTGACTGCATTGATTTCTATAT